GCGGAGGCCCGGGCACGGCTCCATCTTTCGCGCAGATCTGAGCCACCCCTACGCAAACATAAGAACGGGGCGTCGACCTCGTGTGTGAACCTTGCTAGTGCGAGCTATATCTTAAAAAATTATGGAGACAGAAGTTTGTCGAATATTGGTGTGTTACGTGTTGTGATATTAATAGTAGCCCAGAACCTACCCTCTTTGATCCTTGTACTCTGTAAACTCCATGTGGCTTGGGTTCAGAAAGAGCAAAGCGGCATAGAACCCTTACCCTCGAGTGAGGGAGAGAGCAATGCGGGGCAGGGAGCTGCTCCAATCACTGCTGGACTCTCGGATTCCTCTCAGAGAGATGGATCAACACCAGACCATCCATCAGAAGATCCCGACCATCTTAGGGTTTAGAGCCTAAAAATCAACCGGATGCACCAATCAGTATACCAGAGACCGATCGTCTTCCAGCCAAGAGCATTGCTACACAAGACCAACGCACGAAAAGGAATAGAAAACCACACGAGTTAAACCTTCAACCATATCTTTAGTGGTAGATGACAATTATTTCAACGGCTACCTCACAGAACGAGCAGTGTGTGAGGGATTGCCTCTCCTGACCAGAAATGGGTGTAGCAGGTGTTGAAGACTCCGCAGGCTTTCTATTATCCTCACTCCGATTACATTTTACCCTATAGATAGAAGTTGGCATGGACCAACAATGGAGCTGGTAGTGAGTAAAATCCGTCTCAATCTCCATACATACACACCTCCACGAATCAAGCGACACTCCTACCTTGCCACCGCCCCTCCTCTGACCGATCCGTGGGCAAGGTGACAATGGCTAGGGGTTGCATCATGGAACATGAGATAGCAGAGAAGTTCGGTCTTGCACAACCTCCTCTACAATCAACATACGCCAATTACTGACGTGGCGCCCACATTATCACACTGGGTTACAAAGGTGTGCCTTTTTGCAGTTTGTTCGAAGGGGAAGCAAAGCAGACATGCAGAGGTGAGATGGTCTCTATCTGGCGTGTGCCCTCTGCTCGTAGGCGAAACACCCGAGAGATTACCAATTCAAGCTACTCATGTGGTCGCCGATCCAGCGTGAGCCTGGGAACAATGGCTGTCATGTCAACATGCCAAGGATCATGGTCAAGATTTCAGTCCAGTCAACTCTTCCGCTATCATCACATGCTCATCAAGACCCGGGCAGGTAATGGGATGTCCCCCTGGAATCCTACTCAATAATACAAAGGCCACACCCACCCCACCACCCGCACTCCCCGCCACCCGCCTAACGACCACTCGACCGCGAAAAAACAAATGCGCCTGTCCCCCCCAAATCACATAGGTGTAACGCACGGGTGAGTGGCCTGAAAATAGGGTGCTGTTTGCGTGGTGGCAGTCCTCCCCATGTTAACACAAACAATACATTATAACTGGCTATATTATATATAAACAGTGAATAACGCGTAGTTTTGCGCGCCTAGGTGCCGAGCGGAATACCACCAAACGTAAAAGTTGTCGTTGAAATGCACAAATACACATAAATAGCTACCAAACAGACATAACCTAGTTTAAGAATACACTAGCAAGAGTAATGCACATAAAGTTCAGTACAAAGATTCATGCGCTCAGCCTCCGGCCTATTCCGGGACCGCGCTCGCGGGTCCAGGACCTAGGCCCCCACCTCGAACCTCAGATATGAAAGAAAAAAAAGAGCCTTGACACCACATGACCATAGAGTAGTGACTATTAGCCCACTTGGAAAAAAATACAAAAGCAGAAGCTTTATGACATTATCTAGATCATCAGACCTAGTGGCAGGAACTAATAGTTGTAAGAGAATTTCGGGGCTTCGGAAAACGGAGGGCGTCACAAGTGTTATTGTTGTGTTGGATCGAATGACAAAACCGTGTATGAACACGATGCACAAATTGGACGTTCAGACATGTTGTCTATTTATTTACAATAAAACAAATCAGTGAAAGTTATTCCGTCTCTTCTTTCATCTCACACCTTAGTCTGTGGCGATCCTACATCGCAGAAGCTGGCACGCCGCCGTGGACTCTCCTCTCCATTCTACTAGGCAGGAATCAAGAGGTGGAACCGCCAGCGGTAGAGGTATAGGAACAGATCGGAAAGAAAAGCACCTCTCTGCCACAGTGCTTCACCGGCTATCTTCACTATGGAACAATGCGTGCTACTTTTGAGGTGGATTCTGGCATAATGAGAGTGGCACATTGGATCATTACTCTGTAGCTCTGAGAAGGGCCAGTTCCATAATTCCCTCCAACTTCTTTTAAATGCAGCCAACTTTGCCAGCCTCAAAGACCCTGCTCAAGTTACCAGTTAGACATCTGAGTACCGCAAAAAAAGAACACTCTGGGTGCAGCAGGTCCCAACCAAGGAGGAACTAGAGGAAAATACTAGAGCACGGAGTAATAAAAAAAGGAAAAATAAAAAAGAACATAAGTACAATTCATATTTCGCAGCAACACTATGCTAACGTTTTCAGCTGCGTTGGGGGCATCTGCAAGAGTGTAAACTTTGCTCTTGATGATTTTGTCGGAGACGTGGTAGCTGGAGTTGCCAGAGTGAAGGTGGTAGTAGGACGGAGCATCTTCCTCTACTGTCTGCATGATGGGTTTTGACTGTCTGGGATTAGGTCGATCTGTCTTAGACCCCACTTGTCTATGAACACAGCAAGGACTCTGCTGGGCAACATTAGTGAGTTGGTGTCAGGTGCACCTGCAAATACACATGCGTAAGGCTGCTCTACAACAGGCCAGTTCTAGGAGGGCAAGAAAAAACCATTCTATTGAAACATCAATAACTTTTCTGTTCGGAAGATTGTACTGTGGCTTGTATATAGCTAGTGACAGCAAAATGATCCAGTCCTCCTCTCGCTTAGCTCTCCCTTCAAGGCCATGAGAAAATGCTGACTGCATCAATCCTCGGATAAGGTAGTTTCTAACGCCAAGAAAGAAGGAGCGCACGTCATCCAGCCTTGTTCTTCAAGATGGCTCAAATAACAATGCATCAAAAACATGATAATAGCTTCAAATTTTAAAAGGTGTTTAGAATTTCCATGTACTTCTCATATTGTTGTGTATGACAACCATGTTTAATACAGGGAGTGTCAGTCGACCACGCTGGGCCATAAAATTGCTGGAACAATCAAAAAAGCAAATGTCAGTGGAAGAGGTGCAGACCTGTCTTTTACATTCGGTCAACAAAAGGATAATAATCAGAAGTGGTCAGGGGCTATGTCCAGCACCTACCGACTCAAAGTTGACTATGTATCTGACACTCCTAGGGCTTAGTGTGAATTGTAGAAATAGTTGCTCTGTCCACAATATTGAAAAAAACACCACAAGGGTCTAACGTTTGGCTGCTATAAATCCTTGGGTATACTAAAGCACAAATAAATAACAGCGGTGATAGTGTAAATGAAAAGATCGTATGGCCGCCCAAACTGACAACACAACAAAAGGGTCATAAGCATATTAAACAGTCCCTCAGCTAACTCCCAGGATTTATCTTGCATGTTTTTTGAAGGTGTACGAAAAAGGAAAAAGTGGGCCACGAAAGGGCAGGACCGTGAAACGATTGGGCACGATCCGTAATCTTCCCAAGAAACTGCAACGCACTAAGTGAGAATAACATTCCTCGGCAGCCCCTTATGGAAGATACCTTTCGTTCCGGTATTGTCTGATCCTTGGGCACGGAAAAAACCTGTTCACGCAATACAAAAACCTCAATCCACACATGTTTCAGAAATACAACTAAAATGATAGATCTTATTATGAAACCAGATAAAAAGCTATCTTAATCTGTGGCATGCTGAATACCAGAAATATGAAGCATAGCAGTCAAATGCTTGCCAGTAGCACATGTCAGAGAGACATGACCAGGAAAAAAACAAAGAGGCAGAGAGAAACTCAAAGAAACAAAAGAAAATAAAACAGGAAGAAACAATAAAAAAGAGAAAAAAACAAAGGAGGCGATCGGATGGGAGGTGTGGTCGGGATGAAGAAAAACAATTCTTCCCGGTGTGTTTTAATCAAAAATCCTTGGGAGAGCATGAAAGAAAGAAAAGACAAGAAAACAAAAACACCCTGGTACCTGCTCTGTCCTTTAGTTAAATCTAGGGATTCGAATTTGTTTCTTCCAGATGGTAGGGGTTTCGAGTTGAACGGTAAGGAAGGAAGAGTGGTGAACGATTCAGGTACCAATGCTTATCCCTACGGGAGGAGAGACCGAGAGTCACCACGGAAAATGACAGGACGAAGGCATTCAAGACACTCAGTGAAACAGATGAGCTTCCGCTGCAACAACTTCTAGAAACCCCACCAGATCCTCAATAGTAAGTGCCCTCTTCCAGTGTATGTTGGCAAGACACAGCGAGGGCCGAAACATTTACACAACGGCAGGTATGGAGGTGTCCTCTGTCCCCTCCCTCCGCAACGGCACAGCATACAGGGAGACACACGCACCGGAGCCGCTCATCACCTGCCAAAGCAGGAAATGATTCCCCTTACCGAGACTAGTAGTCTGTTCACGGCCAAATCAGTCATCGTAAGACGAGAGGCTCCCGTCCATGCGGGTGTGCTCTCTGCCACAGCATCTCACTCACAGAGTACGCAGACCTGCGCTGGATGGGTGCACGAGAACCAACTGAGGAATTGAAGTGTACTGCGCGGATGGTTGTCGGAAGAGAAGCCTCTGGCCTGCCTCCTGTAACTGCGCAGAGGGAAGGAGCCAACCGAGAAGATTCGAAATGAGTAGAAAGATCTGCTCCTCGTCTCACACTGCTCATCCACCTGCATGTCTCAGGAGTGCAGCCACAAAGCACCACTGGAGTGAGGAGCAGTCCTCCCACGCCTTTTCAGACACAGCAGCTCTGTCAAGCAGTGAGGAGACGCCCCATAACCCCTGCTCGTCTTCCCGGCTGAGGAAAGGATCAGAGCCCCCACCGTCCCTCTTGGCTCTCTTTGATGGTGGCAAGAAAGCTCACAAGCAGCACAGCTACGAAGAGGAGTCAATGCACCCAAAACAGCATTCCCTGGACAACAGTCACTTGAGTACCTCTCAACCTCACGGGTCACCAAAACACAGGCGTCGCATGAGATCGCCTGTGTTGTCCAGCAAAAAGATGGAAATATCCCGAACTCCCTCCCACCCCCAGCTCAATCAGACCACCAGCACTCCTCATTTTCCCCACAGTCTGTCCACTCAGCCTCTGACCAAGGCCTCTTCCATCCAGCAGTTGAGAGCTGCCTCTCCTTCAGACCTGGAGGAAGGACGCAACCATCGCAGCTACTCTGGAGGCCGGGAAGACATGAAGCGACTGAACCTCCCAAAGCTGCAGAGGCAAAAGCAGAGTGTCCAGAGCACCAGCAAGGAGTCTCTCCTCAGCAGCAATACCAGTTCAGTTGGATCTTTGAATGTGAGGGAAGTGGAGAGAGAAGTGGGGAAGGAGAATGCAGGTCGTGTTGTCAACAAGAGACTCATGAGTGTTGATTCAGTGCCCATGCGCTCCTCTGCAAGGAGCTCTGCTGACATGTGGCGTCGTAACAGTTCTCAGATCGGGATTCGCAGGGAAGGGGTGAGTGGCGGTAGAGGAGGCGTGCGGCCTCACTCCATGGTGGAGACCTCCACACTTCGACCATACTACCCCATGGACTGGAACCCCAGTCCGTCAACTCTGGTGGCTCAGATGTTCTGGACTGCCGTTAGCTTACTGGAGTCAGATTTTGAGGCCGAGTTCTCCATGGCTCTCAGACTTATCTCTAAGGTTTATACTGTGTACTTGAATAATACATGTATGGTACAGAAGCCGAGAAGTACATTTATGTTTCATTTAACGCTTACCCTCACTTATGCATCTGCATAAAACTTTTGTTTTAACGTATGGAGTGCATGTGTCCTTCGGCCCTGGTGAGTTTTTAATCTGTGTGCAGAGTTTGGAGAAACTGGACCTTTCTCTGCCGGAGTCATGGGAGAGTCTTCAGAATCTGCTGCCAAAGTTTAAGTGGCCAACGTTTCCAGGGGTGCAAGCACTACTACTGAAGGGGCTGACTTTGGATAGTGTCGCTCAAGACACGCTATCTCTCTTGGTGCTCATCACTCCGTTCTGCACGAAGCCAATATTTGATCCCTCCCAGTACAGTGGATTGCCCCTCAACATTATGGCTCTAATGCCATTCCTTGTCTACCACTTCAGTAGCCCAACTCCATTCTGCCTCAAGGCTGTGTCCAATATTAGACAGGTGGGGGTTATCAACTAATTAATTTTTGCCTAATGTTTTTTTGTGTATAACAGGCCTGTGAGGCAGCTGAGTTACTGTCAGAGGAAAGCAAGTTGAAACTGCAGCACATGAGCAGGATGTTTCAGATGTACAGTGAAGGAGAGTTCACCACTGGCTGTGACATCTGGCTGGCTGGCATTTGCCGCTACCTCAACGAGGCTTATGCCTCTCTTGCAGTGCCAATGCTGAAACTGCTCTCCACGGTATCAGATGCTAATGTCTTTGGATCTATCCCTGACTATCTTCTTTCTCCTGCAGATGTTGGAGCAAGGCCCAGACCTTTACCATCGACCAGTTCTGCGACTACTGTACGAATACCTGCGCCTGCAAGAGCCTCTAGCCCACAGAATGCAAGGTCTGGTCAACTCTACGATAGTGGTGGTACACCGCCACCTAGCTGGGCCTCTGTGGAAGGAAGCAGTGGACTTGCTCAAGTTGGTTGTAGCCAGTTCGGCTGCTCTGGTCCAGCCCCCGACACGAGGCTTGCCGGTTGACCTGGGCCTGATCCACCACACCCTTCCTGGACCAACTCTGCAGTTCAAGATAGACCTCCAGGTATGTCTACTTCTGGTTGATCTGGTTTCATAACTGTCTCCCCATTTTACAGCCAAACTCGAAAGATCTGGGCCTTTCTCATGAGTCATTGGTCCAGTGTTCCTGGAAGAATCCAGCAGGCAGCCAGCGCTGCACAAGAGAGCGACTGCTGAGTGTCATCAATGCTTGTATTCCAATCCCAGTACTGATGAGCAGCCCTTCGGTGAGCACCACCTTCTTGACTGAATGGGTGCTCAAGAGTTGTATGATATATTGGTCCAGGTTGTGTTTACGGATGAGCAGGCCCTCATGGAGAAGGCTACCAGTGCAAGTGAGGAGGCTAGCAGCTCTCTGGCCAGTGTCCCTGGAGACCTATCCTCCCAACCGGAGGCACAGTCTCTCATTGCCGATGAGTTCAACTTCCTCGACAACATGGAGTACATCTATGACAGCTCCAGTGAGAGCGAGACTCCTCCTGGTCCTTTCAGCCGTCCAGGGGAAGAGGGAGAGGTCGGGGAAGAGGAAGAAGAAGAGGAGGACGACGAGGAGAGGTAGGGGATTGATGTTGCTTTTGGTTTGTTTTAGTTTAGTTTCTGTATGTATATAGCCTTTCAGATTCAGAGACCCTGCCAGAGCTGAGCATGTCAGATCTTGACCGTGGCACTGCTCTCTCTTACTCCCACTCTCCTGAGTCATCCCTCCCATCTCTGCCATATGAACTGCAGAGTCTCTCTGGCCAGCTCGAGGCTCTAGGACAGAGTGGCGAGACCTTGCCCGAGGAGGAGGAGCCACTGCCAGAGGAGCCACTCCCTTTTTCTGAAGGTCAGGTCCAGCTAAGGTGTTACTCTATAATCCATCAGCTCCCTCTTCCTCTCTGTCCTCCAGGTCCCCTGCACCAACACGAGTCCTCTCGTGCCTCAACTCTCACTGGGGGCTCTCCTGAATCTCACGATGCCAGTTTAGATGCCGCCAGTTTGCCCGAGAAAGTTGTCAGTGGTGACGAAGACTGGTCTGGAGTGCCTGTCTCTAAATCACAAACTCGGCCTGATGGAAAGGAAAGGGCAACTGCAGCTTATAAGGAAGGTCCACCTTCTGACTCAGAGAGCAGCAGAGACAGTAGCTGTCTAGGAACTGAAACTGATGCAAGAAGCAAAAGAAACCAGAAACCTTTAGGCCTTGGTGGTAAGCCTGCAGCGTCTAGCAGATGGCAGAGTGAGCCACCTGAAGACAGCCAACAGAGGATTATTGAAGTGCCAACTGAAGGCAGGGGTCGCAGTGAGCCTCCATCTCAGAGCAGCAGCAGCAAGGTCTCAGCTGAAGGCAGCTGGCTGCATAAACCTCCAGATAAACGGAGTGGGCAAAGTATGAATCCAACTGGAGCAGGTTTTCGTGAGCCAACAGCTGACGAAAGGCAAATCAGTGAGCCTCCAACTCAGCGACTAATGGAAACTCCAGCGGATGTCAGAGGTGGGAGTGAGCCTCCACCTGATGCCAGAAGGCTAAAACCGCCTGATGTCAGTTGGGTTAGTCATAGCAGAGCAGGAGAACAAGAAATCACTCAACCAGCATCAACACCAAGGCAACTTAGTGTACAATCTGATTCACCAGAACGTGAAGAGTCAAATGTAAATGAACCTTCAGCTAAATCAACTACAGAACCTTCAATGGAATCAAATGAAACTACTGCAGAACCTTCAACTGCAGAACCTCCAAATGAAACTACTGCGGATACTGCAGAATGTTTAGCAAAGTCAAATGAACTAACAGCAGTAGAGTCAAACCTCAGTCGACTTGCAACAGAATCAGAACTGGTAGAAGAACTAGTGAAACCACTCACCAGAAGTTCTCTGGAGCCAATGGAGCTTAATGGGGGTGTGGGAGAAGGAAGACATGTTAGTGAGCCTCCAGCAGAAGGTCCTGGGAAACCTGAGGGCCAGGCTGGAGGTCGAGCAGTCAGTGAGCCTCCAAGCGACAGGTCTTCTGAGGGTCTGCCCAGACTGGACAAGAAGGAAGAGGAGGCCTCCCCAAGTGAGCCCTGTGAAGAGAAGCAGAGCTCCACTGAACCAACCGATGAAGTCAGGGATGAGAATGGCTCTGTAGGGGAAGTTAAAGTGGGCTCAAGTCCTCCATCGGCCCTGACAGCTGCAGATGAGAGAACTGATGTTCGAAATGATGAGTGGGTTCTGGTGGAACAAGTTGATGGACACGAAAGAGAGTCTGTGGAGGAGCAGATAGCAGACTTCACTTCAGTCCAGCCATTCCAGAGTGCAGCATCTCGTTTCATCCTTGTGTCAAATGAAGAGGCAAGATTTACCAACTGTGTTTGAAGTTTTGAGCCTTTTAACCTATCAGAAGCCCGTTTACTGCCTAGGTGACAACCAAGACATTAGGAATGTTTGTTACTGTTCATCACAATCATAATTGCCTGTGCCTCCTAGGCTTCAATAGCCCATTCATTTCAAAATCTTTATACCAATGTTGGTGGAAACTGTTGCTCAAACTGCTTCATTTAACCACCCATAGCTAGTGACTACTCTTCTTCTGCAGATTGCAGACATGTGGAAGAGACATGTTGGGAGTCTTGGCTGTGAGAAGCCAGAGCAACTGGCTGTCCACACCCACTTCCTCTTTGTTCGGCTTTTTCCAGTGTTGAGGCAGCAGTTTACAGTTCTTACAAGGGAGGCCTGCAACTACCTTGGCCATGCCTACAGCACAGTAGCAGCTCACTTCTTAGTGACAGTTGAGCTACTGGGCTCCCAGTTCCAGCTGCCCATTGTGTACATTGACTCCGAGCTGGTGTGTGTGTGTGTGTGTGTGTGTGTGTGTGTGTGTGTGTGTGTGTGTGTGTGTGTGTGTGTGTGTGTGTGTGTGTGTGTGTAATGTTTGGTCTGATATGCAGTTGGTGAAGGCAAAGTTAGTTGAATCTCACGTGTTTCTGACTCTGGAGTTGGATGGCAATATAGATGTCTATTATGAACGTCGGAGGACTGTTTTACAGGTAAATCGCAGTGTGTTGTATAGACTTAAAGCATTGCCTACTGCAGCGCCTGGAGCTGATAAAACTGCAGCTACGACAACAGAGCAAGGGTGGAGAATCGGATGAGCATGTGAAAGTTGTTTCTCTATCTCCTGAACAAGCTGTGAGCCTTTCTCTGTTTTAGTGCGAGGCCAGGTCTTACACTACTTCATTTGTTGCAGGCATTGCAGCTGTGTCAGGCAGTTCACAGGCTCCATTTCCAGTTACTGGTGCTGCTTGGGAGCTACATAAAGTTGCTGGACTCCCTGCAGCCGTACCTGGCGACATGTGGGGTTAGTGGGTGCCTGTGTTTAGGATGACTGAGCTCGGTGGACTTAAACACAGGGAGTGGAGATGTCTCAGGAGCTGGCCGAGGTCCGAGCTGGTGTGGAGGAGAGTGTGCGGCTGCTGGGGCGAGTCCCCTCTCCTCTGTTGGAGCTGGTGACACAGCCTTTTGCTGAGGCTCTTCAGGTCCTGGAGGATACACTCACTCAGAAACAGTGGTCTCGGGCTGTGCAGCTGCTTAGAGCAATCAGGTTGTTTGTCTCAGGAGTTATAGTGGTCCTTCATGTGGAGACTGTTTTGCTGTAGGAGGCAGAACAGAGATTTGGATGTGTTAGGCGGCTCAGAGGATGACGACGTCGACTGTTTGTTTTTCATCTATGCCAGGTTCTTAACTGACAACCAGGAAGGTACAGCTTTAAGAATGTTTATTTATATACTGCTTGTATTTAGTCAGCTGTGTGCTTGCAGGGGTTGTGAGCATCACGTCAGAGAACAGTCAGTTGTCAGATGTCCACAGTCGTCTAATGGCACAGAATGTAAGCCTGCATTCCCTCCTGGAGACCACCCACCAGAACCTCTTGTCACCATAGAAACACTTATTAATCAGCAGGCCATTTTTAAAACTCATTTTACCAACACAAAACACAGAGTGACTATTTGCAATATCTGTCTGCCTTCATTCGTTCTCTGCGGTCTAGCAATGCTTCGTGAAGTCTTCCTTGTTGCCGAGCAGCCTCAAGGCCTTCCTTGCTCTCCCCACACACACGGACACGTCTGTCTTCCCAACTCTGAAACTTCTTCCTGTGCACATGCGACAGGTTTAGTATACCGAACAACACTGTATTTGTTCAAAGTACTCACACATAGCTGTACTCGACTGAAGCCACATTTCTCTCTGCCAACTCTGACTCCTCTGTTCCAGTTTCCTTCTTCTTTGCTGCTGCTGGAAGGTCACTCCACATCTGGTGAATTGGCAGAGAATATAAGACAATAGCACCAACACCAACTCACTGTCATCACTTCTCTTTCCTGGGCCTTTTCACTGGCTGCCACGAGTCGCCCATCGTCAGTAACTGTCAGGAAACGATGATTGCAGGCACACAGAGCAACTTTACCCTACAGGTAGTAGAGTAGGATGCGGGAGAGAGCTCCGCAAGGTTGCTCACTGACCTCCTCAAACACAAGTTCCCACTGCTCTCTGGGCCCCATGGCTTCTGTGCGACCTGCCAGGTCCCCAGATATAGCAACACTGACATATCGTCCATAGGCCGTCTTGATTGCCACTCTATCGGTCTCCCCAACTCTGACCAGGCTAAACACCTCCCCAGCGTGGGGTCCCTCTCCTACGCAACGAGGACGGAGTGTACCGCTGCTTACCAACCAATGCCTTACCGTCTTCCCTGGGTTCTCCCACACGGAATTCACCAGTGTCTAGCGCTTGCACGTAGCCCCCCGTGCAAGTCAGCAGTAACACCCTTCCTCTAGCCGTCTCCTCTGCGTAGACTCTTCGCCAACCTCCTGCACCGACGACACGTCGCATAAAGCATTCGGAGAACTCCTCATAATAGGAAACACACCATGGCGCAGGTCTTCTTCGTTCACTTCTTCTTGACTCTCTCTCTTTCTTTTTCGCCTTTTCTTTCCCTTTAGGGCCCCCGAGGCCGGGCCCTTGAGTCTTAGCTTTCCAACACGCACGGCCGAATAGGCAGACATCCCCTGGTGGTGTGGTCCGGTGATCCCGCGCCCACCACACTTGCGCATGCGCATTGCCAGTTGCAAAAAAATTCAGAATCATTCAATGTAGAACCACTTGTCAATGGCAGGGTCGAGAGGTTGAGGAGCAGTAGGTGGTTGACCTTTCACCAGAACCCCAGCTTCTTTTGCTGTCTTCAGGTATGGGCTGTCAGCTACAGTTGTGTTAGCACTGGGAATGAAGAGCCCCAGGATCACTTCTGTCAGAAAAACTAATTGACCTTACCAGGAAATAGGCCCTGGATCGCAGTGCTTCCCCACAAGCTTTTTCCACTGTTCATGTGTCTCATTTACCACGCGGTGGGCAAAGTCACGGTCTTTGGCCTGTCCTTCGAAGGCAAATGTGTTGGGTGGCTTTCCAGCAGGAATCTTGTACACCCTGAACCACTGCACTGTAGCCTGTACTCACAGCATACACTTGATGCAAACACAAAACCAGATATAACCTTCAGAAATCCTGGCATGTGTTTCTCAATATCCTGAATTCCTGATACGAATATATAGTAATTTTCTACTCTGACAAGCAAAAGGTGTTTACCATTCATCTGAGTGGCCAATGGATCTGTGACATCAATTGCCAGAATCTTCCAGTCTGTCTCTCCTATACACACAGGATTCTGGTAAGGGTAACAGGGCCCCAAGTGGGTGGAGTTCACCTTCATCAATGAGAGCTATAGTTCCCAGGACTTTGACTTGGCGCACATCACCCCTTGCCCACACACGCTGCCCAATCTCACAGACATCCACAGGGTCGTTGTCCCCCTCGGCCCGTGTGTCTGGATCTACGTGGCTGGGATCTTCCCATGTCTGTCAGAAACTATGACATCATAAGCCTACACATGCTACACATTGGAGGCAGTCACCTGAGGGAAGGTCCCATAGTTCCACATATATCCATGGTAAGGGAAACAGTTTTTTACAAATCTGACTTGACCCTTTTTCACGTCTTGCATTATTGGGTTCAGAGGCTCAGAAAGTTTGATCTGCGAAGAATGTGCATATATAGGGGGCAGCGGCGGACACACCTCCAGGCCATAGCTATATACCTCCATTTTTGCATTTGTCCAACGTGGTATTTCAACTAACATGTTGAAGACGCAGCTTTCGCGGTCGGCGTAGAGAGGAATGTCGTGAAAAGGTGATATGTAGCGCCCTCCGCTCTCTGGGGAAGAGAATTACTGTGACTATAAAAAGACTGCCCATTAGTCATCACTCACTCATATAGAGGCGGTAATCTGTAGAGTAAAGACTGCCCTTTTCCTCCAAAGAATAAGCCATGGTTCGTTGAGAAAAAACAGAGCTCTTGACACACTGCACACAACCACTCCGCCGCAAACTGCGGGCAAGCTGGAGCCACATGCACGTACAGTGGTACGTATACGGGGTGGTGCGACCTGCGCGCGTGTGTGTGTACGTAATAGTATATACGTGTGCCACACTTGCGCATGCGCGGCGTGTCCGCGAGTTTAGTCATCATGTGGAGCCGTGGAAGAGGTTAGCTCTTACTTTTCACTTGCCTCTGACAGTATCCTCTCGGGGACCAGGGGTAGGTACAGTTTCTCTGCTGTGCAGACTCAGCTCCGTCGCCCAGACACCAACTTCTGGGGGTTTTAGAACGTGAGTCTACAAAGCCTCCGCATTATAATTGCTATTTCATGTGACACACAGACGTGAGGTAGGAAGAGAACAAATGCTTTCCCAGAATGAAAGTAACAGAATCAATGTGGCTGAAATTGTGCGGCAGTTCCAACATAAAGATGGGGACACAGGATCAACTCCGGTGCAAGGTGGACGCTGAGCGTTTGATGGCATTTTTATGAGCACTCACTCACTGTGTAGTGGCTGTACTGACCCACAGGATCAGTCACCTAACAGAGCACGTGAAGAGGAACAGAAAGGTACCCCAAGCGAAGGTGACAATGGCCAATCACACTTTTGCTCTATAGGACTTCAGTTGTCAGCGTGCGCTGGTAAAGATGGTACACCAGCGCAGAAGGCTACTGCAGTATTTGGAGCGCAGTGACCATAAGGCCTACCACATGCTCCTTTCTCAGCTCCAACTGCGGACCCCGAGGCCACTGTCCTACTCCAGACCCAAATCTTGAACTTTTGTCATTATTGACTTATGCACTGTGTATTACAACTACGGATCAGATTTCAGGTCTGTCACTAGTTTGTAGTGTCCTTTTGGCTGCAGTTCCATGATGGCAAACTGGCAATTGTCAAAGTTCCATAGCTTGTGAAACTTCCCCACCTGTGAAAGACGTTAATACTGAGCGGTGCAAGAGATAAGTTGCCTACGCTCCAGTGGTAGTATCTGGTGAGGAAGAGTCGGCAGAACAGTCCGTGGGTGACAATGATGGTGTTCTGGCCACACGTTCCTTTCTCCATGTCCCTGTAGAGGGTCTCCAGGAACATGGAGACTCTGTCAAACACATCTGCTCCACTGCACACAACAAACCATTAAAATTATGTTACTGGTTACTGGGCCAACCTTTCTCCAGTTGGAAATCTGTAGTAGAATGCACCAGTCTCCCTTCTCTGCTGCTTGATCTTCTCCATCTGCTCTGGGTCCTGAAAGTTGCCCCACTCCTGTTCTCGCAGCCGCGGATCTTCACGATAACACAGCACCTGCATAATACATATTATGATGACATGAGTCAGCAGACTATCGAAATGATGGCAAACCTGTTCATCATGGAAGCACATCCTGAGCTGGTCGTAAGTCTGTTTTGAGCGCAAAAACGGGGAAACATAAAATGTCACTGACTCATGAGAGATCATTTCCTTCAGCTGCTGCCCAGTTGCCTACAAGATGTAAGTATGGATCGTTACAATAAAAAAATACATTACATATAATAAATATAGGGTATACATTATACACAGTAGATTGCATGCGGGAGTCGATGCTCGCCAAGCATTGGAACTTCTCAGTGCAGATCCAGGGGGGTTACTTGAACCCCTTTTTTGTCGTTTTGCGCGCATGCGTCGCCGGCCTCGTGTGTGTGTTAGCCCCTTTCAAAATCCTAGATCCGCCACTTCTTCTTGGTATATACACAAAGCAAGTGGGATGTGGTCGACGTAAGCCTATGATAATTTGCATATTGCCTTTAGTTTTTACGCCATAACTCTCGAACGTTAACACCACTCACATAAGCTTGCTGTCTGCCACGTTCTGTGATATCCAGTTTGTTGTCTGGAACATGTGCATACACTGATGAGTCCACATTACCAATGCTCTCAGCATGGCGGATGAGGATGATCCTCTTTGGCTGGCGATGCATGAACCTTGCAGCCCGGGCTTCGTCCAGTCTGCATTCACAGAAGATATCTGCAGCAGCTATACTCTCATAGCACCTCACACTCACTGGGACAGAAGACTATCCATGTCTACCCCATCTGCAGTGACTTCAGCTAATCTGCGGAGCTCCCTCAAATGCTCACACAACCGGAGACGGTGGCCCACTTTTCCCACACCCATCTCTTTCAGGTGATCCTCCTTCAACTGCAGCAGCTCCCTCCCACTCTCTATTGCGTGCTTCTGAAACGAATCCTGCATGAAACGAGCAACTAAGACGAGCTGCTGGCTGCCACGTAGAACTGTGCTGTCCCGTGGAATACCTGATACTGTTGCATGCCAATTTCTGTCAGCCACGCAGCCACCTCCTCCCACCCCCAGCCCGTCACCCCACCAGGGCTGGCAGGACTGGAGCTACAGCTATTGAGACGACCTTCCGGAACGGAATGTTGGACGCTCAACATGCTGGGCTTTCTCTGCAGGTTGGAGATGGTCCTGAACGGTGAGCTCTCCGCCATCGTCTCAGTCCCAGTTTTACGCTTACACTGCGCAGTACCGCGCCCTTTGACTTGTGTAACAAAACGAGTACAAGTATTATGAGAAAGAGGTTCAGTTTCCAGCACGTTTGACGTTGTGAAAGTACCAGTTCACCGACACAGACCAGGCGTTGCCAATGGCTTCCTTCATCCTCTTCCTGAAGTTCTCAAGAGCCATTTCTTCAGACATGCTCAGACACAGTGCATCACGGATGTAGTTGATATCGTTAGGTGTGGTCAGTTCTGGGATCTCACAACTTAGCATCAGTGAAAAGAGGTTGATGAAAAGACTCCCATGGTTACGGAGCTTCATGAATGCATCTTCACATATCTCTTTAAACCTGCCATAAGAAAGTGTGCCATGAGAGCACTAATTATAGTCAGCCACTACCCACTAGCGAAGCAAACCTTGAGAACTCTCTCGAGGTGCGGTCACCTCCATTGGTGATGATGTAGATGAAATCGTCAGTCAACACAAACGGAACTCTCTCTCTCTTCACTCCGAACTTGCTCTTGAAATTGCCCAGGAAGTGGCCAAAGTCAATGTGGGCCAGCTGTTATAATACGCAGAGCATCAGACACACCCCTTCCACCCACAGCCCTAGCCCTAGCCCTTCCACCCACAGCCCTACTATACTAACCTGTCCATTCCTGCAGATCATGATGTTGTCTGAGTGTCTGTCTCCTATACCCAGAACATAGGTAGCGACACAGTAGCCTGCACACGAGAGGGTGAAGTTCTCAATGGCCTTCTTCAGGTGGGCAGAGTTGGGGTTCTGCTCCCGCAGCCATTTGAGGAGGAGGGTCTTGTCAAATGCTCCGCGGGCTCCTCTGCTCTTCTTCTGGATCTTGGCGATGGTGGAGGAGTTGAGGATGACCTCAATCAGCCCCACCTGGTCTCCCGTAGACAGACAGCCATAGGGGGTCATCCTGAGCAAGGAGAGAAGGTGGCAGTCAGAGAACACATGCAGACAAGGGACATGCCTGAGGTCAAGTCCATCTGCCTTCCACTGGCTGTCCATGATTCCTATGATCTGCAAAGTCAGCATATCCTGCCGCAAGTCTGCAAAGGAAAAGTCAGTTTCTCTCAGTTCAGGCTCTGCTGCCATTATTCTCACCATCCCCATTTTTGAAGATGTGAAATATGCTCTCCCCCAGCATGTCCTGGTTGTGGAACACCAGCCAGAGGGGACGCATCTTGCTGTCCATCACTTTACATTTGTCGTCACTAGGGAGGGAAGGAATGACAGTGTGAATGAAAGCAAAGATAAGGTCTGACAGACTTGAGAAATCTGAAGCGGAGGGTTGGGTCCAGGGGAGAGCTTACATTCTCCATCACAGACTTGAAATCTTTTTCCCTTAGAACACGCAGCAACTCATCGCTCTTCTTTTTCTGTGTCTGAAATTTGTTAGTTACCTGCGAAGCAAGAGAGCAGGGACAGTTTGTTGTTGTGTTCAAAAAGGTAGAATACCTGGGTCATTTTATTGAGGGCATTGACTTGAGCAGTCAGCTCAAAGCGGTAGTTGCCACAGCCTCGACAATAGGCCTCTAGCATCAGCCCGTACCTCACCCAAACATGAGGCAAGTGCATCTCGGATCTGTCAGGCCATGTACATACATAACTGACAGGTATAAGACGATGCTCACCGTAAGTGCCAGAAGAGGAAGTGACCAATGACCTTGTTTTGCAAGGCCCGGCGCAGCAGGAACTGGCCGAGGGCACAGTCCAAGTAGGGCTCGAACTTGAGAGCCTGCACCAACTGCAGCAGGTACATGATGAGCTTGTTGTCTCCAAGACACTCCAGCCACTCTACTGCTCGGTCCCGCACCTGGAACCACCCAGTCAGAGAGAGAGATGACATTACTAAAGGACCACCCACCAACCTGGATGTCTCCATACTGGTGATCCAGCAGCTCCAATGCAGACTCAGGACTCAGCGGACGCCACTTTTGCAGCAAGAAATAGACTTGAGCCACTTCACTGCGGTTGTTCCAACAAACACTCTGCAGGAGTTTTGGCAGAGACTGAGGAAACTCCTGCAGACACACATTCCTGTGCCAATTGAGAAATTCTCAGATAATGAATGCAGTTCCTCCCTCACTGGCTACTCCCACCTGGCTCTCCAGATTAGCTCTTTGTCTTGCTCGTCCAGCTGAGTTAGAGGGTCTCCCTCTATCACCTTCTGCAGGGCTCTCACCTCCTTCATATCATTCTTGAACTTGCTCTGTAAAGGTGGGAATTGTTTAAACCGTGGGAGCCAGCCAGCTGTTGACTCACTGCAGGAATGGAGACTTGAGACATCTCCAGAGCAAACTTGTTGATCTGTGCCTCAGTTGGGTACGTGATTGGCTTCCCAGCCACGCCTACGCAGGGCTCTATTACTTCAATCTCCACAGACACGTCTTCAGAGGTGCTGAGGTTGAGGACATTGGAGCCCATGAAGTTGACTTCTTCCTCCAGCTCAGAGCCACACGGCCAGGCGTACAGCTCCTGTCGGCCGGTCTGCAGTCTGCCCTCATAATCGTAGACCATCATGTTCACCCACGCCAGTGGGACTACCTGTATGCCACTCACTGTACCCACTGCTCATAGAGTCACACACTGGAACTTACCGCTTTCTTGCGCTTGCTCTTCCCCCTGTAGTGAAGAGCCAAAACTAACGGATACAGCTGCACACCGTATTACAGTCTTACCTCTCAGGAGCAGCTAAAACAACGAAACAGAGCTTGGCTCCTCTAGGAATGTCACGAATGGAGATATCAAATTCAAGATTTTCATTCCACTCTGTGTTTTCGGAGGCAGCACCCTTGCTCGTTGTGACAGCAGAGCAGAGGGATTCTCTGCCATGGTAGATACCAGCCTTCACATACACCTGCATACATCATCATGCTCACCAATGAAACATCTCGCACACACATGACAAGGGTGACCTTCAGATTTTCTGGAGTGTTAGCATTCTTAGCAGAGAGAATTTTGATCTTGTAGGTGTCCTGTACTTCCATGATGGACAGAAAGTGGGAGGGGTCTTTGTTGGATGTGGCTCTGGTCCGCGTTCCTTTCATCACATGCAAATTTCTTACTATGATAAGTATTATACTCCTCTAACGATTATGATACCGTATAGGGCTGGGGTTTCCTGCTGCTGGCCAGCATAAACTGGTCGAGAGAAGGCCTCCTTCTCTTTGGGTCGCAGGTCATCGTAGAGCTTCAGGGAAAACTTCGGCTGGACCTTCTTTGCCAGACAGGCAGCAATGTACTGTGGAGGCAGAGGAAGGAGAGGTGGCAAATCATGGACCCAGTTAAACACAAAAGAACCTTGTATTGAATGATGGGGACTTCCTTCAGGAAATACTCTTCCTTCCCGACCACTTTCAGGACAAATGAGTTGGCGTCAAGACGCGATGCAACTGGCTTGAATTCGCGGCTGTTCAGAGCCAGTTCTAGCACAGAGCGAGGGTCATTGACCAGGTCCACCTACACACAGAGTACATGTATGTACAGCTAAGGGTAAACTGTTAATACCAGTATGGTGGTGCCATAACGAGTCCCATCTGAAGACAAGTAGTCTACAGATACAGATATCTCACTGTCCATATGGTCCACACGTGGCTGGTAGTCCAGCAGGTTGGGTGGATAGTAATAGCGCATGGCTGTACTCTCGCTTTGGGTACGCTGCATGACTGCTTGCTCACATACAGCCAGGGCACCTCTGCGGAAGTCTTGTGCCTGCGTCAAAACACATTTCTCGGCAGTTTCAACATACAAGTTTACACAACCCACACATATATACCTCTGTGCCCATGGTATCAAAGTCATGCATACACGTTCTTCGCCCAATGAGATTTGATAGCTCAGAATTAAGTTGTTTCTCCTCTTGATTTCCTTCCCGTTCCACAAGCTTTAGCACTGCAACACCCAAATACTGAGAGTCACGGACTTCCCACAGCAGTAAGTCTACCTGGGGCATATAGGTTGAGATCTTCCAGACACATTTCTTCATTAACAAATTCCTCCTTCTCTCCATCCCGTGTAATGCCTGCGGTAAAAGACCAACATGACGGCTAAATGCCAAAAACCGCCATTTACCCAAAAAGTTATAGAAGCCTTGATCTTTGAGCATGGAGAACAGAGGGTGCTGTTTGGCTTCTTGGTAGAGTCGATCCTTCAGCTGTCGCAAAGTCGTCGAAAATGTTGCGCTCAGCGTTACCATCATTCCAGTTGGTAGAAGGAGGTCTACCTCGCCACAAGGGACCGGTGGGAGCGCACGCCCCGGCATCATGGTCTCCTTTCAGCCCTCTCGATCGAACCCTCGATCGCGTAAACAATAATACGCCACGCCCCGCGGCGCCAACGCGCGTATAATACGCGTCCTCTAAGTTCAGTTCACTTTTTTTAGACTGCCACAGACTATATAGTGATACAACACTTACAGATGACGATGACTATATACACACACTAAAAATTTCACGATTTATCATTGGACAAAAAGTGCTTTATGAGTGAATTGTTTACTAGCCAAGGCCCTGTCCCTGCAGTCGAGTGGTCCTCCTGCATGTCGTTGCAGTACTCAAACCACACTAATACACACACACATCACACTTGCCTTAAACCACTTGGATGCAGCGGCTGCAGCAGCTGAGGGGCGCGTGCTGTGTGCACAAAAAGCAACTCCGTAACAGTGTTAATGAAAAATGGTACTCACGTACAAGGGGTCTTGTGTGAGTGTAGCTTTTATGAAACTTCGCACATTTTGGCTGCAAGTGCCTTCATTAGGAAGGACAAGGGCTCCTCTTAGCACCTTTGCAGTGGTGGCTGCCTCAGTGTCTCCAACAAATGGGTATTTCCCATGGAATCTGTGGGTGCAACACTGTTGGCGCATTAAGTCAAGAAGAGAAAGGCTCACATGATGAATGTCACGACTCCAACAGTCCTGCACGGTGGTATATACAATCATGCATTGAGAGACATTTAGAGAGAGAGAGAGCTCACCAGATGTCTGCAGGTGCAGCTAGTGGCTGCTGCTGGAAGCCTCAGGGGCTAGGTAGTGGTAACTAGCTGGACTCTCATATGAGTGCTCCAGAGGCAGTATCTGATGGCTGCACCCAAAATGTCTGGCAGCTCCAAAGTCAGTTAGTTTAACTCTCTCTATATTATGGGTCACTTGGACTAGTACATTCGGTGGCTGAGGAGAGAGGAGAGATAACAAAGTGGGAATACTGGACCAGTTGCATACCCGGCAGTCTAAGTGGCACACGGAGCGAGCATGGAGGTATGCCAGGGCCTTCAGAAGCTGGCATAACAACCCTGCTACATCAGCATCTGTCACTTTACCCTTGTGTACCAAATGTTCCAGTAAACCCCTTCCCTTCACTCTAAAGACAGCTCAAAATGAGGCGTACATTGCAAAGGTTGACTTACAATTCAAATACGAGTGCCCTCTCTCTGTGGTTGACGACACCCACCAAGGCAACGGGCAATGTTGGGATGATTGAGGTGAAACACTGTACAGAGTTCATGTTCAAAATCTTCCTCGTGAACTTCAGGTATCACAATCTTTACAGCATGCCGACCACCAGTTCCCTTGTGCTTGGCCTTGTGGACCTTACTGAACCTCCCTCTGCATGCAGAGAGTGTCTGGGATAGAGGAGAGCCAGTAGCTGTGTAGCATACCTTCCCAGCTCCCTTCCCAGTGAGTAGGTAGCAGATATTAGTTGTCTGGACACCGGGGCTGAAAGAACACCGCTGGTGTTATACATAATATATGACGAGAGAGGGGAAAATGAGGTACCAGCGTAAAGCTCCAGTTGGCATCTGGGCAGACTCGCAGCCTGTCCTACTTCCAGGCCAGTAAGTAGAGTCACACTCAAGTCTTCACCTCCGCTGCTGTCTCGGACAACAGCCAGCTGACCAGCAAACACCCCTGCCTTTTTCTCTCCAGCATCCTTCGCCACTAGCAGACCCCCGGGCCTAACCACAGAGTCAAATGCTGGCAGAGCTGAGCCTGGAGACCTGTAGCCACAGAGAGACATGGCAGAGGTCTAAATGTTCCCTCCTTACCTACCTCGGTCCTCCTTTCTTCTGAGGAGGTGTGATGGGGCATGGCAATTTGGTCTAGTTGTTGACTAACGGACGTGGGCCTTCGTTTGAAGCGAGCTATCAGCTTGGGGGAGAGTGTGGCAGCCAATGACAAGGACCTTGGTTTGAAGAGCTGTGAGACTTGTGGGGTGAGGAAGACACAGGGAAAGACTCTGACATACATACTTTGCGAGAGGTAGAGAAGCTGGCAGAGTGTGACACGGACGTGGGAAGGCTCAGTGTATTTGCAGAGTCTCTCTGTGGATTGTCAAGTTTCTAGGAGAGAAAAAGAGGCGATCAGTTGTGCAGGCGTACATTGAGGGTCCACCTCATATCCAGGACTGGTAGGCCAGTCTGGATCTTCAGGGCTCCCAACGGGACTAGAGTGGACTGAATCAACACTTGAGTCTGAATCCTGCCATTCCAGGCTTAATGATGGGCGACCTTGGGGCACTCTGGGTGTGGCAGGCTTGCCAAACACCAAGGCTAGAGGAGTGAGGAGCCAGTAGCACTGCTACAGACAACACAAGACTTACGCACCTCTCATCATTTCGCTCTGTGAAGCTAAAATTGAATTCATGGCTGACAGCCATTCTGCTTTCCCCGCTTCTGATGCTGCCTTTAAAACACCCATTACTTACATCTTACCTACGTTGATATTACCTTAAAGACAAAGCATGATTTATCTGATGCTGTGAATGAGAACCGCAGTGGCTCTGCCTTTATTTCTTCAAACAGAGATCCCTGAAGGGTCTAGAAATCATTATTCTGTTTTTAGTGATATCTTGGATATCATACGAACCTTAATGTCCAGTTGGTAGTCAAAGAACCCATCACTATTGACAGGCAGGGTGACAAATATACGATGGTCAAATAGAAAGATCTGCCGTGGTTCACCCTTGACTCCACCACGTGCTTTATCGCTCCAGAACTGAAGTGTGTCCTGTTGTATATAAGTTAAAATCGTGAGCACGTGGTAGTGGGTGTTGTACTACTGACTGTACCTGGAGCCACAGAGAGCCGTGACCTACCAGCTTTGAGCGGTGAACACCACGTATCATACTCATACATATGATGTTGTTGGTCTCTCGTGGAATATGTTTCATCAGCTTTAGCGCTGCCTAACATATATAGCAAGGTTCCTGTACGCTCTAAGTTACTGGCACAAACCTCAATAAGAGAGATGTCCTCGTTCATCTTCTTGGTATCCTTGAGAAGATCCTATTATTGTATTAGTGGCATACTGTCATAGGGTTCCTTTAACCAAACCTGAAGCAGCAACTGGTATTTTGTGAATCTCTGAACAGGAGTGATCAGCAAATCCTCTATGCTAAGTTTCTGTCCGAGCTCAACCTGTCGCTCCCGAAAGAAGGTCTCGTGTTCAGCTCTGGCAGCATCAGACGTGGGCTTGTTCTTGCAATATTGCATGTACGCAACGAAACGGCTTTTCTAAAAGGTATACACAAAGTTGCAGAATCAAATGAAATTGTTAGATTTCTCACGTTTGTTAGAAAGCATTGCATGATTGCTGCAATGTCATCTTCCTTGCAAGCTCGAAGGGCAGGGAGAAAAGTCCTGCACATAAAACTGATGACACGGAGTTGGGACAAAGCGAGCGTATAGCTTACTCGTTGTGGAAGGTGAAAATCTCTGACAAGTTACTAAATATCGCAAGTACATCAGCCTTCAAACCGAGGGGCACCTTGGGTTCCAGCTGAACGTACTTGATATAGTCCTGTACACGAGATGGCATGAAACACTACACATCAAGCTCATCCAGTAGCACCTCAGTCAGTCCCCGAAGGCGGTCAACGTACTCCACTTCAGAGCTCCGGAGTTCGGCCAAAACGTACCTAAGAGGATATGGTAGCTACAGATATTTTCTCTTCAACACAGCAAGTGAAATCTCACCCGCGATGGGCAGATATCTGTGAGCACATTACCAGCGGACCCAACTCGGTCCTCTCCACTCGAGTCTCCCACTCGGGTTCCCGGCTAGCCGACGCTCCTCCGCGAGTCTCCGCCCTGACCGCGCCTACCGGGTTCACGTGTGTGTGGCGGAGCGATGTCATTATTTTGCTGTCCCGGATTCCCCCATTATAAAGTGTCAATCGCTGCGTATACAATGAGCGGAAAAAGTGACGTTAGAGTATGGAATGGTAATGTCTTCTATCTATCGCTATGTCACCCAAATTTTGCTGTCTCCCCTGTCTCCCCTATATAAGGGTGTCAATGATTTTGTAGGCACATCAGCGGATAAAGAGATGACCTAACTATCCTTATTGCTTTGACTAAAGTTGATGTATGGAATTGTAATGTCTTCTATCTCACTGCACCTATCCCTATCTCGCCAAATTTTGCTCACCCCTCTATAAGCGTGTCAATGATTTCGCATTTTTTGTAGGCACATGAGTGGAAAAAGTGACGACCCAACAATCAATAATGCTTTGACAAAAGTTTGAGTATGGAATGGTAATGTGTTTGATCTCGCTGCACCCATCCCTATCTCACCAAAATTTTGCTGTCTCCCCCATAATAAGGGTGTCAAACATTTTTGTAATAAAAAGAGAAAAGCCAACTATGGTAACAGAGCAAACCAGAAGAGTTGTAATGCACTGGATGCCTGACACAATGGCATGGAAGGTATACAAACACAATTGTTTAGCAGAACTATAGGACAAAGAAGAGAATGTGCTGTATACCTGCAAAACAAGAAAAAACCAGAAACAATCTCCAGGGGTTATCCCCCAGAGATGGTTTTCGTCCCTTATGTTTATAGTGGGAGGACTCATCAGCTGGCCCCACTCTATTATTACTGGACACACAAAATAGTATTGTGCCCGGCTCTTGCTAGTACTTTGTGTGTGTTAAAACAGAATCCAGTAATACCTTTACAGGGAAAGTTGTTCTGTTGTTCACTTCAATTGATGATCTGCTCTGGTTATGAGAGAGAGAGAGAGAGAGTAATGATAAAGTTGTGTTATTTCTAGTTACACATGGTAGTAGGGGTAAGGGGATACCTGAAGTAGGGTATATATACATAATAAAATGGACCATTAGGCTATTTGTCAATAGCATCTCATCATGTGTGCACCCGTAACATATACCAAGGCGAGTAAAAGCAAGTGCACTCTCAAATACTCCAACGATA